CTCCTCCCACAGCTTGGCTGTGTCTGTGAAAATGAATATTCTGCTCTTTGCGCCAGGTCTCCTTTACCTCCTCCTGTGGCGCTTTGGCCTGCTTCGTGCCATTCCCAAGCTTGCCATCTGTGCTGTCTTACAGGTAAGAAAGGCAAGGGAGCTGCCCGGGTTACAAGGCCTGTTTTGCCTTAAGATAGGCCAGACTTCAATCCCTGACATTTATTTATTTATTAGCATCATTTTTATCCCGCCCATTTCAACCCAAAGGCGACTCAGAGCGGCATACAGACCAGCAACAATTAGATGCCATCCATACACACACACACACACACATACATACATACATACATACACATATATCAGTCAAAGCAATTAAATCTATATAAATAAAAATGTAATGTTCATTTGTGGGATTAACAGAACTCAAAAACCACTGGATGAATTGACACCAAATTTGGACACAAGACACCTAACAACCCAATGTATGTTCTTCACTCCAAAAAATGATTTTGTCATTTGGGAGTTGTAGTTGCTGGGATTTATAGTTCACCTACAATCCAAGAGCATTCTGAACCCCACCAACGATGGAATTGAACCAAACTTGGCACACAGTTCTCCCATGAATCATAGAATGACCAACAGAAAACACTGGAAGGGTTTGGTGGGCAGTGTCCTTTGATATTAGAGTTGTAGTTCACCTACATCCAGAGATCACTGTGGACTCAAACAATGATGGATCTGGACCAAACTCTACACGAATACTCAATATGCCCAAATGTGAACACTGGTGGAGTTTGGGGAAAATAGAATCTTGACATTTGGGAGTTGTAGTTGCTGGGATTTACAGTTCACCTACAATCACAGAACATTCTGAACCCCACCAACGATAGAATTGGGCCATACCTCCCACACAGAACCCCCACGTGGGCCACAGCAACGCATGGCAGGGGACGGCTAGTCACATCATAAATACATATAAAAACCATAAAAGCTATAAAAACTATTTAAAAAATTATAAAAAACAATGTCTTCCAGTCCAATTCCTTGTTCATTTACATCGTCTTAGCCATTCCGTGTTCGTTTGTGTCTATCTGGTCATGCTGAATCTCCAAATGGTTGCTCGAAGAGCCAGGTTTTCACTCTTTTCCGAAAGGTCAGGAGGGAGGGGGCCAATCTAATATCCTTGGGAAAGGATTTCCAGAGCTGTGGGGCCACCACTGAGAAGGCCCTGTGTCTCATCCCCACCAGACACGCCTGTGAGGCAGGTGGGATCAAGAGCAGGGCCTCCCCAGATGATCTTAAATTCCTAAAAGTTTCATAGGGAGAGATGCGTTCGGATAGATAAGCTGGGCTGGAACTGTCATCTCCAGCTAAAAGATTTGCAAGAAGTCTTTAAGGGAAAGAAATAAAAGCCTAATTGCTGGTGAGACAGGAAGTGTCTGGGTTACCATGTAGTTTGCTCTTCTCCACACTCGCATGTGAGTGGATTCCACTTTGTAGCCCCATTTCTTAAGGTTGGCTCTGCATCTCGTGGTGCCAGAGCGCAGTCTGTTCAGTGCCTTCCAAGTCGCCCAGTATTCTGTGTGCCCAGGGGGGAGTCTCTTATTTGGTATCAGCCATTGGTTGAGGTTCTGGGTTTGAGCTTGCCGCTTTTGGACTCTTGCTTGCTGGGGTACTCCAGCGAGTGTCTCTGTAGATCTTAGAAAACTATTTCTTGATTTAAGTAGTTGACGTGCTGGCTGATACCCAAACAGGGGTTGCTACGTCATAACTGCTACTGTTATGAAATGTAATGCAAATATCTGATATGCAGGATGTATTTTCATTGTTATAAATCGTGACCCCCGGAAAATGGCCCAGCAACCCCCAGGTTGAGAACTGCTTGTGTAGATAAATGCCCAGTCTCAATTCTGTCTAGCTGTGCTGTTCGTTCTATGATTTTCCCTGTATAACTCTTGTACTTTCAACACTTGGGATGTTGGACAGTAATTACCACGTCATCCTAGATGAGAATATTTAAATGTTTGGGTCTCTCTTGCAGGTGGTTTTGGGGTTGCCCTTCTTGGTGGTGAACCCCGCCGGGTACTTGACCCGCTCCTTTGACCTGGGCCGCCAGTTTCTCTTCAAGTGGACGGTAAATTGGAGATTCTTGCCAGAAGAGGTTTTCCAACACCGGGCCTTCCACCTGGCCCTGCTGGTTGCCCACCTGGCTGCCCTCGGGCTCTTTGCACTCAACAGGTGGCACAGGTGAGGGCGGTGGCATGGTCGTCATGCTCAAGCTGCTGAATTATGCCCATGGACACTACAGATGCTGTGGCTTCCAGTTTGCAGAGGGAGAAGTTATGTCTAAATATGGAATTACCATCTGCAGTGTCCAGTGTGAGAAAAGAGATACGAATGCCTCTTTGGTGCATGTGACCCCCCACCTAAATTTGTCACTTACTTTCGCCTGTTAATTATTTCTTTAACTGATTCTGTATTTCAATTTTTAGAATTTGCCTTTGGGATTTGTGAGATCAAGATTAAGGCTTGCTTTCTAGTGTTCTCCATTCATAAAGTACCATCCATCTTTGCTTCTTCTTATCCTGGGGTTGGTTCGGGTAGGAACTGTTTTGTGTTTTCGAAGGCTTTCATGGCTGGAATAACTGGTTGCTGTGGGTTTTCTGGGCTGTATGGCCATTTTCCAGTAGCATTCTCTCCTGATGTTTTTGCCCACATCTATGGCAGCCATCCTCATAGGTTGTGAAGTTTGTTGGAAGCTAGGCAAGTGGGGTTTATATATCTGTGGAATGTCCAGGGTGGGAGAAAGAACTCTTATCTGTTGGAGGCAAGTGTGAATGTTGCAATTGGCCACCTTGATTAGCACTGAATGGCCTTGCAGCTTCAAAGCCTGTCTGCTTCCTGCCTGGGGAATCCTTTGTTGGGAGATGTTAACTGGCTCTGATTGTTTCCTGTCTGGAATCCCCCTGCTTTTTGAATGTTGCTCTTTATTTACTCCCCAGATTTAGCCAGATTTTGTTCATTTGCATGGTTTCCTCCTTTGTTAAAATTGCCCACCTGCTTGTGGATTTCAATGGCTTCTCAGAGGTTGTGAGGTCTGTTGGAAACTAGGCAAGTGAAGTTTATATTTGTGGAATGTCCAGGGTGGGAGAAAGAACTCTTGCCTGTTTGAGGCAATTGTGAATGTTGCAATTGGGCCAGCTTGATTAGCATTGAATGGGCTTGCAGCTTCAAAGCCTGGCTGCTTCCTGTCTGGGAGAATCCTTTGTTGGGAGTAAATAAAGAACAACACTAAAAAAAACCAGGGGAATTCCAGACAAGAAACAAGCAGGCCAGCTAATCATCACCTAACAAAAGATTCCCCCAGGCAGGAAGCAGCCAAACTTTGAAGCTGCAAGGCTATTCATTGCTAATCAATTGCAACATTGATTGCAATGTTCCATCCATGCAATTGCTCCATCCATGTTCAACATCTACACAAATGACCAGCCACTGCCAGAAGGGACAGAGAGTTTCATCTATGCTGATGATCGTGTCATTACCACTCAAGCAGGGAGCTTTGAGATGGTAGAACAGAAGCTCTCCGAAGCTCTAGGTGCTCTTACTGCCTATTACAGGGGAAACCAGCTGATCCCTAACCCATCTAAAACACAGACATGTGCCTTTTCACCTTAAGAACAGACAAGCATCCCGAGCTCTGAGGATCACCTGGGAAGGAATCCCACTGGAGCATTGCAGCACACCCAAATACCTGGGAGTCACTCTGTACCGTGCTCTGACCTACAAGAAGCACTGCCTGAACATCAAGCAAAAAGTGGGTGCTAGAAACAATATCATACAAAAGCTGACTGGCACAACCTGGGGATCACAAGCAGACACAGTGAAGACATCTGCCCTTGCGCTATGCTGCTCTGCTGCCGAGTACACATGCCCAGTGTGGAACACATCTCACCACACTAAAACAGTGAATGTGGCTCTTAATGAGACATGCCGCATTATCACAGGGTGTCTGCGCCCTACACCACTGAAGAAATTACACTGCTTAGCCGGTATTACACCACCTGACATCCGCCGGGAAGTACCAGCCAATAGTGAAAGGACCAAGGCAGAGACATCTCCAGCTCATCCCTTGTTTGGGTATCAGCCAGCACGTCGACAACTTAAATGAAGACATAGTTTTCTTAGATCTACAGAGACACTTGCTGGAACACCCCAGCAGGCGAGAGTCCAAAAGTGGCAGGCCCAAACCCAGCACCTCAATCCGTGGGTGATACCAGATGAGAGACTCCCCCCTGGGCACACAGAAGACTGGGCGACTTGGAAGGCGCTGAACAGACTGCGCTCTGGCACCGCGAGATGCAGAGCCAATCTTAAGAAATGGGGCTACAAAGTTGAATCCACGACATGCGAGTGTGGAGAAGAACAAACCACTGACCACCTGCTGCAATGCACCCTGAGCCCTGCCACATGCACAATGGAGGACCTTCTTGCGGCAACACCAGAGGCACTCCAAGTGGCCAGATACTGGTCAAAGGACATTTAATCAACTACCAAGTTTGCAAAATCTGTGTTTTTGTTTTTTTAATCTGTTTGTTTTGTTCTGTTAGAAATGTAATACAATGGTATGGTTGCTGATGACACAATAAATAAATAATTGCAACATTCACATTTGCCTCCAAGAGACAAGAGTTCTTTCTCCCACTTTTCATTCATCCCTCGTAGCTTTACCTTCCACTTCCACTGGAGCTATAAAGGTCTCAGCACTGCTAGATAGGATGAGCAGAAGGGGAGTCCTTCATGAGTCCAAATCAGGAAACTTGGGAAGGAGATAGGCATGTGCAGAACTTGAGTGAGAATGTCCAGGATCGAGGTGGGAGATGATTTAACCCAGAATCTCATGTCCATAGTTGGGGAGAGTCAGCATATCAGCACATTCTTGGTGGGAATTGCAAGGACACATTTCTCAAGGGTCTAACAGTCCATGCTTTTCTCTGCTCCATCCCTTCCAGGTCAGATGAAAGTATCCTGTCGCTGCTGAAGGATCCCTCAGAGAGGAAGGCACCTCCACAGCCGCTCTCTACCAATCATATCCTTTCATCAAAAAAGGGTGACAAAATATCTTGAAACCCTCTTGGTTTGAGGGTTGGAGTGGGAAGAGCTGACATCATCAGAAGGGTTCACAAAAATGCCCTCTGATCTTGGCATGATACAACCTTAGAATCATAGAATCAAAGAGTTGGAAGAGACCTCATGGGCCATCCAGTCCAACCCCCTGCCAAGAAGCAGGAATATTGCATTCAAATCACCCCTGACAGATGGCCATCCAGCCTCTGTTTAAAAGCTTCCAAAGAAGGAGCCTCCACCACGCTCCGAGGCAGAGAGTTCCACTGCTGAACGGCTCTCACAGTCAGGAAGTTCTTCCTCATGTTCAGATGGAATCTCCTCTCTTGTAGTTTGAAGCCATTGTTTCGCGTCCTAGTCTCCAGGGAAGCAGAAAACAAGCTTGCTCCCTCCTCCCTGTGGCTTCATCTCACATATTTATACATGGCTATCATATCTCCTCTCAGCCTTCTCTTCTTCAGGCTAAACATGCCCAGCTCCTTAAGCCGCTCCTCATAGGGCTTGTTCTCCAGACCCTTGATCATTTTAGTCGCCCTCCTCTGGACACATTCCAGCTTGTCAATATCTCTCTTGAATTGTGGTGCCCAGAATTGGACACAATATTCCAGGTGTGGTCTAACCAAAGCGGAATAGAGCATGGGGAGCATTACTTCCTTAGATCTAGACACTATGCTCCTATTGATGCAGGCCAAAATCCCATTGGCTTTTTTTGCCGCCACATCACATTGTTGGCTCATGTTTAACTTGTTGTCCACGAGGACTCCAAGATCTTTTTCACACGTACTGCTCTCGAGCCAGGCCTTGTCCCCCATTCTGTATCTTTGCATTTCGTTTTTCCTACCTTAACAGAAGGCCACAGGTAGTCTTTGCTCTCTTCACCTCCAACTTCATTGGCATTTGCTTTAGCCGCTCTTTGCACTACCAGTTCTACGTCTGGTATTTCCACACTTTGCCCTACCTGCTCTGGTGTACGCCTACCAAGACGCTCGCCCAGCTCCTCAGGTAAGTACCTGTGTGAGTTGCAGAGGGAAGGGACAAAAACAGAGGGCCATTCTCGTACCTCCATTCACACGCGTCATCCTGGCTGATATATTATGTGGGGAAATGTCATTGTAATGCAGTGTAGTGGGTACAGCTTATGGAGTGATGACCAATCCCTTTGCCACCAAACGTATTTATTTTCTGTATTTATAACTTTTCATATGACTCCACAATTTCCAGGCAGAAAAGGGGCATTCCTTCCCACATAAGAATTTTGTGCTCCTTGACATGAATGTTTTCTTCATTCCTTAAATTCCTGGCATTGTACTAACCTAATATATCCGTGGTCCATTTAGAAATACAGTTTAGACATCCAAAGGAAAGGGTAGGCACTTCTAAAGTTTTCATATCACATATACTCGAGTTAAACTCTTATGGTGGCAGGACTGAAGACCGACAGGTTGGTTTGAATCTGGGGAGAGTGGATGAGCTCCCTCTGTCAACTCCAGCTCCCCATGCAGAGACATGAGAAAAGCCTCCCGCAAGGATGGTTTGCACATCAAAACATCTGGGCATTCCCTGGGCAATGTCCTTGCAGATGGCCAATTCTCTCACACCAGAAGCAACTTGCAGTTTCTCAACTTGCAGTTTCTCAAGTTGTTCCTGACATTAAAAAAAATAGAGTATAAGCCAACCCAAATATAAGCCGAGGCACCTAATTGTACCCCTAAAAACTGGGAAAACTTATTGACTCAAGTATAAGCCGAGGTTTGGAAATGCAGCAGCTTTTGATAAATTTCAAAATAAAAATAGATACTAATCAAATTACATTAATTGAGGCAGCAGTAGGTTAAATGTTTTTGAATATTTACATAAAACTGTAATTTAAACTAAGACTGCCCAACTCTGATTAAACCATTATTCTAACCTTCTTCAATGTAAATGTGCTTACATATCCTTCCAATAATAATAAAGAGCGTAAAATAAGAAATGTAATAAAAATAACAGTAGAGTAAAATAATGGAAATATAACAGTAATAATAGAGTAAAATAATAAATGTAAAATAATAATAAATAGAGTAAAAGAATAATGTAATAATAGAGTAAAATAGTAAATGTAATAATAAATAGAGTAAAAGAATAATGTAATAAAAGTAATAATTGAGTAAAATAATGAAAATGTAATAATTGAGTAAAATAATATATGTAATAAAAATAGAGAAAATGTTTTTGCTTTATCAATGTATGTATTTTGTTTCAGCATCGAATTGTGCTGACTGTGTATATCGCCCAGAGTCACTTTTGGGCTGAAATGGGCGGGATAGAAATAATTTAAATAAATAAAAAAAATAATGTAAATATAATAATGATAATAATAAAGTAAAATAATAAATGTAATAAAAATAATAACAATAACAGAGTAAAGAAATAAATAATTGACTAGAGTATAAACTGAGGGGGGGAGGAGGGCTTTTACAGCCTTAAAAAAGGGCTGAAGAACTCAACTTATACTCGAGTATATATGGTATCTCATTTTTTGCACTGTTTTTTTTTTTTTATACAAATGTCTGGTTGCTCCTGACACGATAAATAAATAAATAAATAAATCCAAAGTTTCCTTGAAACTCTGAAGTATCCCCACTGCTTTGGGACAGGTTCAGGCAGCTGGACAGAGTTTGATTTGGACTAGTCTGCTGTCCACATGGCACCATTGCCATCTCCTTTTGACTGCACTCATCAGCATCACTGCTTCCAGTCAGCTGCAGAGGTCCATATGTGAGTTCCTGGCCATTACGGGCACCCCATACTAACATCTGCACAAACAGAAAAAAGGTGAGGAGATTTGAGGAGATTTGATCCCTGCTCCTTCCTTGTTGCACCCAATAGTCAGGAGCTCATGTGGACCTCTGCGACCGGCTGGAGTGGCTGCAGTGACAGAGATGGTAAAATGATGGTTCAGTAAGGCCAATGCCATTTTATTTTTATTATTTATTTACTTCATTTGTATCCCGCCCTTCTCAACCCTGAAGGGGACTCAGAGCAGCCTTACAAATTAGGCAGCAATTTGATGCCAAAAATAAACATACAATAAAATAAACAGTTACCGTTATTTATGTATTTATCTTGTCAGAATCAAATTGAGGGTATAGTTAAAATGAATGTAAAAACACAAAGTTTTTTAAAACTTTTGACCAGAAGCTGGCCACTCTGGTGTCGCTATGAGAAGGTCCTCCATTGTGCATGTGGCAGGGCTCAGGTTGCAGTGTAGTAGGTGGTCTGTGGTTTGCACTTCTCCGCACTCACATGTCATGGACTCCACTTTGTAGCCCCATTTCTTAAGGTTAGTTCTGCATCTTGTGGTGCCAGAGCGCAGTCCTGTTCAGCGCCTTCCAGGTCATCCACTCTTCTGTGTGCCCAGGAGGGAGATTCTCACCCGGTCTCAGCCATTGATTGAGGTGCTGGGTTTTAGCCTGCCACTTTTGGACTCTCGCTTGCTGAGAGTTACATTAGAACCAAGACACTAAAGCAACACAATTTAAAACCAATTATTAAAACCACATGGAGCCCCTGGTGTCACAGTGGGTTAAACCACTAAGCTGCTGAACTTGCTAACTGAAAGGTCGCAGGTTCGAATCTGGGGAGCGGCGCAAGCTCCCACTGTTAGCCCCAGCTTCTGCCAACCCAGCAGTTTGAAAACATGCAAATGTGAGTAGATCAATAGGTACCACTCCAGCAGGAAGGTAACAACATGCCATGCAGTCATGCTGGCCACATGACCTTGGAGATGTCTACGAAGAACGCCAACTCTGGAGATGAGCACCAAACCCTAGAGTTAGACATGACTGGACTTAATGTCAGGGGAAAACCTTTACCTTTACTATTAAACCCATACTATCCATTTTAGCTTGGTTGGACTCTGTGGGCTCCAAGTCGCTGTTGGAGCAGAATCAGTAAGGTGCATGTGACAGTCTCTGGAACCATTCCACGTCATTTCTAGACTGGTTCTGGATTTACTGGACAGTGTACATACAACCTAAGTTTCCCTGACTATGGATTCTGACCTGCTATTTCACCTGGGAAGCAAATGGTAACTTTGACGTCACTAACTTTGAAATTCCTGCCCCACTCCTTTCATCTGAGACTCAAGCAAGAATGACACCCTGAGTCTCCTTCTCCCTTAGACTTGAAAAGGGACTTTGGAATTACTTCAGCATTCCTGTCACTTTCATCTGGTCTCACATACAGATTGGAGGGAAGGAGAGAAAGAAGGAAACAACCAAAGGGAGAGAAGGAAGGAGGGAGAGAAAGAAAGAAGGTGAGAAGGAGAGAAAGAAGGAAAGAATGAAAGGGAGAGAAGGAAGAGGGAGAGAAAGAGGGAGAGGAGAGAAAGAAGGAAAGAATGAAAGGGAGAGAAGGACGAAGGAGAGGGAGAGGGAGAGAAGGAGGGAAGGAGAGAAAGAAGGAACTGTGTTTACATGGTAAAAAGGAAAGCTGGGAGTGGAGAAAAAAAACATTTAAAAGAAGGGGAAGGTAAAACACGGAACGAAACAACACAAGTTCCTACGCTATTTCGCCTGTATGTTTATATTATGTAACCAAAAAATTCCTTGCAGAAAATCCAACTAAAGAAAAAGGCAGTGTGAAAAATAAAGGCTGGGTAAAGGAAAGTGTTTTAGACCCACAAGTTGCCTGTATTTCAGAATTCTCCTTCCTGTTTAGCAGGGATTTCTTTATTGTATTGTCAAAGGCTTTCATGGCCAGAATCACTGGGTTGTTGTAGGTTTTTTCGGGCTGTATGGCCATGTTCTAGAGAGGCATTCTCTCCTGACGTTTCGCCTGCATCTATGGCAAGCATCCTCAGAGGTAGTGAGGTCTGTTGGAACTAGGAAAAAGGGTTTATATATCTGTGGAATGACCAGGGTGGGGCAAAGGACTCTTGTCTGCTGGAGCTAGGTGTGAATGTTTCAACTGACTACCTTGATTAGCATTTGATAGCCTGGAAGTGCCTGGAGCAATCTTTTGTTGAGAGGTGATTAGATGTCCCTGATTGTGTTCCCTCTGCCTCTGATCATTCCACAGATATATAAACCCATTTTCCTAGTTCCAACAGACCTCGCTACCTCTGAGGATACTTGTCATAGATGCAGGCGAAACGTCAGGAGAGAATGCCTCTAGAACATGGCCATATAGCCCGAAAAAACCTACAACAACCCGATGTCTTTATTGTTTTCCCCAAAAGCTGATCTCTATGGGGTGCTTCTCTTCCCTTTCCTTCTTCAGGGTGCTCATCCTGGGCTTGATAGAGCTCTCTTGGAACACGTATCCCTCAACGGTTTACAGCTCGGCCGCCCTCCACGTTTGCCACGGCATCATCCTCCTGCAACTGTGGTACGGGACGGCATCCTCCCCGGACTCCCAGAAAGAGAAACAGCCTTTGAAAAAAGCAGAATGACGTGAACAGCCTTTGACAGGGAAGGCCAGGAAACAAGGGAGCCTCTGCCTGGGTTGGACATTACTCTAGGAAGCCAGGAAGTACTTCCTGGAACCTGTTGCTCAGGTGTCGCATTCGCCTTCTGCCCCCAAAACTGTCCATTTTGACTGGAGAGAAGGTGGGAAAGAGTAGATACCTGCTCGCAGCAATGTCGGACACTTTCAATAAAAATATCCCAGGCTTCTTACCCTCTTATGTTTTGTGTTTATCTTGTTGCATTACCAAAAAGTTGCCACGTCCTATAAAAATCAGCTTTAAAAAGTAAGCAGTTTTCAGCAGTTGATAAAATACTATGTATAGTAACACATTCTCGATGCATAAGCAGTACCTACGTCGGTATAGCCAAACAAGCCGGAAGCGAGAATTACAGATGGGATTTCAAACTTTCACTCTAGAATCACAGAGTTGGAAGAGACTTCGTGGGTCATCCAGTCCAACCCCATTCTGCCAAAAAGTGGGAAAATAGCATTCAAAACACTCCTGAGAGTGTGATTCCAAGTGTCGTCTGACCAAGGGTCTGGAGAACAAGCCCTATGAGGAGTGGCTTAAATTGCTGAGCATGTTTAGCCTGAAGAAGAGAAGACTGAGAGGAGACATGGTGAGGGCCATGGGTAAATATAGAATCATAAGAGTTGGAAGAGACCTCATGGGCCATCCAGTCCAACCCCATTCTGCCAAGAAGCAGGAAAATCACATTCAAAACATCCCTGAGAGATGGCAATCCAACTTCTGTTTCAAAGCCTCCAAAGAAGAAGCCTCCATCACACTCCGGGGCAGAGAGTTCCACTGCTGAACAGCTCTCAGGGTTTAGAAGTTCTTCCTCATGTTCAGGTGGAATCTCCTTTCCTGTAGTTTGAAGCCATTGTGCTGCGTGCTACTTTCCAGGGCAGCAGACAATAAACCGCATCCCTCCTCCCTCATGGGTCATCCAGTCCAACCCCCTGCCAAGAAGCAGGAATATTGCATTCAAAGTGGATGTGAGGGCGATCTGGCTGCGACATCTGTCACCCCATTGATCGCCAGGGTTGATTCGGCTGATCTGGCTGGCTAGGCAGGTGTCCCCTTCCTCCCTCACCGCATTCAAAGCACCCCTGACAGATGGCCATCCAGCCTCTGTTTAAAAGCTTCCAAAGGGGGAGCTTCCACCACACTCCGGGGCAGAGAGTTCCACTGCTGAATGGCTCTCACAGTCAGGAAGTTCTTCCTCATGTTCAGGTGGAATCTCCTTTCTTGTAGTTTGAAAGCCATTGTTCTAGTCTCCAGAGCAGCAGAAAACACGCTTGCTCCCTCCTGCCTATGACTTACCCTCACATATTTATACATGGCCGTCATCATGTCTCCTCTCAGCCTTCTCTTCTTCAGGCTAAATATGCCCAGCTCCTTAAGCCACTCCTCATAGGGCTTGTTCTCCAGACCCTTGATCATTTTAGTCGCCCTCCTCTTACATTACGATTCATAACATTAGCAAAATTACAGTTATGAAGTAGCAATTAAAATAATTTTATAGTTGGGGGTCACCACAACATGAGGAACTGTATTAAGGGGTCGTGGCATTAGGAAGATTGAGAACCAGTGACCTAAGGGAAATTTAACTAAGGTTTTCATAAATACATTTTAAAAACAGGGTTCATCCTTAAGGTGGCAACCACCAAGCAGGCTGATAGAGTCTAGTTCTGGAATATGGTTATCTTGGGAGTCATGGAGTGATTGTTTTATGTTTTCGAAGCACAAAAGTGTCTGTTTATGTCCATTGAGACCTGAGCTGAGCTGTGGCGAAGAGGTTGAATGATCCACACATACTTTGCACAAAAAAGATCCCAGGTTTCAGCCAGCAGGACTTGGAAAGACGTCTTATTTGAACCTTCAAGAGTTGTTATCAAATGGAACGGGCATTTTACGGTAAGGTAGAGAGCACTGGTTTGACTCAATATAAGGCAGTTTCACATGTTTATATTAAGTACATTATAAAAATGTTCTATGTCCAAAATGTTTGAACTTATTCCATGCAAACAGCTGTACACTGGGTGCTAAAGAACTCCACCTTGCTCCTCCCTATTGTAGAGGATTTGGGGAAAACATTTAGAGTCCATTCAGTAACTTTTGGTGACACTTTTGGGCCTGCAGAAATGGTGCCCTTGAAACGAAGCAAATTGTCATTTTTGTCTACGTTATTAATCTTTCTTCATAGGCTACAATGGGTTAAACTCTTATGCTGGCAGGACTGAAGACCGACAGGTTGGTTTGAATCCGGGGAGAGTGTGGACGAGCTCCCTCTGTCAGCTCCAACTCCCCATGCAGGGACATGAAAGAAGCCTCTTGCAAGGATGGTTTGCACATCAAAACATCTGGGCATTCCCTGGGCAACGTCCTTGCAGATGGCCAATTCTCTCACACCAGAAGCAGTTTCTCAAGTTGTTCCTGACATGAAAAAAAATCCTTCTTCAAAGAATTCCAGATTTCCATGGAATGTAGTTGGCCTGATACTACAAACAAATTTGATAAAGAGAGTTTCAGAGATGAATAATCTGTAGTGAAATGGAGAATGGTCCTGGTTCTCTGCAACAGAGCTAGCAATCGAGTTTGTCTTCAAGGTGTCACTTAAGAAAAATAACAGCTGGCACAGACCAGAAGTCCTTGGCTTTGAAAGACCACGCTGACACGACTGGTTCTGAACAAAGGCCTCTTTATTGGCAACTAAAGCCTAAGGCCCAGCCTGCTCGGTCCCTTCCTTCACATGTTGTTTGGGTTGTAACACAGCATGTTCAGTTTGATGTTTTCATCCCAGTGGCGGAGTAGCAGGAAGAGCTGCCGTGCCGCCCCTTTAAGTGCCGCGACATCTACCCCTTCCGGCAGCTGCTGTAACCGCAACCAGGAATCAGCCTTGGCCGCTAGCAGCTCCCACTCCACGAAAAACCCAGCAGAGCGGTGCTCCAGCCACGCAAGCGCCACCGCTGTGGCCCAACTCATGCTCTCCAAGTCGGCGTCTTCCAGCTCCAAGCCGATCTCCGGCAGGCTAATGCTGGCTTCCGAGGCATCAGGGGAATGGTCGCAGGCGTCCGTCTCCGAGCCGCGTCCACTGTCGGCCTGTGCCCACACGGCAGCACTCGGGACCTCAGAGCATGTGCTCTGCGAGTGAAGCGAGCACGACCGCATTGCTCCCTCCTTGCCCATCCCAACGTTCATCTCTTCTCCACCGTTCATTGACAACTGGTTTTCTGATGGTTTTGGAGTGGTTTTGGCAATCAGGGCCCATGGAGAAGTGCTGGAGGCAGGGCTGAGGCTGGCGCGATGAGAGGCGTAGGGAGAGGCCCGGCGCAAGCGGTCCAAGGGAATCTGAACCACCTCCGCAAAGCTCTCTGTCAGCTGGAACATGCCTGCTGCTTGCTGGAGCTTCATCTGTGGAAGTGAAAGAAAAGTAAAATTGGCAACTATAGGGTTGGAAGAGACCACAACTGCCATCTAGCTCATCTCCATTCTGCCAAGCAAGAACACTTAATCCTGGGTTGTTGTAGGTTATTTCGGGCTATATGGCCATGGTCTAGAGGCATTCTCTCCTGACGTTTTGCCTGCATCTATGGCAAGCATCCTCAGAGGTAATGAGGTCTGTTGGAACTAGGAAAAAGGGTTTATATATCTGTGGAATGACCAGGGTGAGACAAAGGACTCTTGTCTGCTGGAGCTAGGTGTGAATGTTTCAACTGACCACCTTGATTAGCATATAATGGCCTGACAGTGCCTAGAGCAAACTTTTGTTGAGAGGTGATTAGATGTCCTTGTTTGTTTCCTCTGTTGTTGTGCTGTTGTAATTTTAGAGTTTTTTTTAATACTTTGTTCATTTTCATTGTTTCCTCCTTTCTGTTAAAATTGTTCCAACAGACCTCACTACCTCTGAGGATGCTTGCCATAGATGCAGGTGAAAGTCAGGAGAGAATGCCTCTAGAACATGGCTATATAGCCTGAAAAACCTACAACAACCCAGTGATTCCGGCCATGAAAGCCTTCGACAATACATTTTAAAAAAATATATTTATTTTCAGCATTTTCAAAAGTTTACGACAATACACCTAATCCTGTTGACAGATATCATCTAGCCTCTGCTTTAAAAAACCCCAAAGAAGGAGACTTCAGAGCAGCATATTCCACTGCGGAACAGCTCTTGTCATCAGGAAGTTCTTCCTAATGTGTAGGTAGAATCCCATTTTCTGCAACAGGAATCCATTGCTGCATTGTGTCCAAATCTCTCCAGCAGAAAACAAGCTGCCCCCTTCCTGAATATGACTTCTTTATTTATTTACAGTATTTATATTCCGCCCTTCTCACCTCACAGGGGACTCAGGACGGACTACAATGTACATATACATGGCAAACATTCAATGCCACGGACACACAACATATAGACAGACACACAGAGGCTATTTAACTTTCCAGCGTTCATGAAGGTATTCTGGCCACCAGGGGAGCTGTTGCTTCATCTTCCATTTGTGACACTGATGGAGTTCTTCCTCATTCTTTTTTGCTTTCTTGCTGGAGATTTTATGATGTCTTAAATTAGTTAAATTTGCCTCCCCGCATAAGCGGTACCTAAATTTCAAACTTGACAGCTGCAACTGTCTTTCACGCTGCAAAGGTAACAGCAAGCCACACAAAGGTCAGAAGCTCATTCCGACCCAGGCTGGCTTCGAACTCATGACCTTTTGGCCAGTAGGGATCGATTCCCAACCAGCTGCGCCACAGCATGGTTATTATGTCCCCTCTCAAACTTTTTTTCTGCAAGGTGAACATCCCCAGCTCCCTAAGCCTCTCCTCATGGGGATTAATGGTTTACAGCTCCCTTTGATTTGAGTGGGCTTACATTATAGAGTTAGGCCACAGTAGTCCATGCCTTAATTACATCTACATTGGATTATTGCAATGCATTCTACATGGAGATGCCTTTGAAGGCGGCTCGGAAACTGCAGGGGGTGCAAAGTTTGGCAGTCAGGCTACTAATTGGGGCTGCATACCACATCCCTATTGAAGCAGCTCCCCTGGCTGCCAAAAGTTTCCAATCCCAATTCAAAGTGCAGGTCATTACCTACAATGCAAGAGTTGGGCGAGACTTCAACCTGTGGCCAGGGACCATAGGAAAAGACGGGGTTGGAAACAGCAACACAAATGGCATCCTGCTTCTCACCAAATGTGCGGAACACAACCTTGTCACCAACACGCTCTTCCGCCAGAAAAACAAGCTCAAGACATCATGGAAGCACTCCCGGTCAAAGCATTGGCACCTCTTAGACTATGTAATCACACGTGCCAGAGACCGCCGTGACGTGCTCCTCACAAGAGCCATGAGAGGTGCTGACGACTGCTGGACCGACCACAGGCTAATCCGATCAACGATGGCTATCAAGATTGCCCCCAAGCGCAGGCTCCAAGGAAGAAAGACAAGGCGCAAAATGAACACCCAAGCCCCTCAGGAGCCCTCCAGACGAGCCCTTCTCCAAACAGCACTCAAGGACCATCTACCCACAGAACACCCTGAAAATGTTGAGGAACACTGGAACAAACTGAAGACCTCCATCATCACAGCCTGTGAAGACACTAGGTTAAGCAGGTAAGGAAACAGGGAAGGAAAGAGGAGATCCTTACCAGAGGGAGGTAGTCATGGATGGCACTGTCACAAGGCGAGAGCTCACTTTCAGGAGTCAGACACTGCGGACGCAAAGCCAGGCCTGGTCCCCTTCGCCGGCTAACGCTGAATCTGCAAGTAAGGATTTCACCATTAAATAGGCCGTGACATAAAAATACTTTTGCTTCACCTGTGTCGGAGGTAGGCAACTTGTGGTCCTTCAGGTATTGTTAGAGAGCCATATGAACAGCAATGTCTACCAATGTTGCCATCATAAACAATTGTGAGTGTTGACAAGGGTGCTGTCCAGCAATATCTGGAGGGCCAAATTATACCATTATGTTTCCTGCAGTGGTCAACCAGTTTAATTAACTGGATATACATCCTATATTTCTCTATAGCAGGCATGGGCAAACTTCAGCCCTCCAGGTGTTTTGCACTCCAATTCCCACAATTCCTAACAGCTGGTAGGTTGTTAGGAATTGTGGGAATTGGAGTCCAAAATACCTGGAGGGCTGAAGTTTGCCCATGCCTGCTGTATAGTAATTAGTATCCTGAATATATATTCAGTTGTTGCACAGAGATTCCATTTAGCTGCTAAAGACTATGAATTCAGGATCTATCTGCACTGGGAAAGACAACCTCTCCTTTCTTCAGAGGGTCCCCTCCCCTTCTTTTCCAATAATTAGCAGATTTCAGGCATATATAAACCCATTTCTTAAGAAGAAACTTGGTGGAATTAGAAGACCCCAACTCCATGTAATTGTTTTGAGTTCTGGAATTGACACAGTATAATTCTGAAGAGAGATATCCTTTAAAGTGTCACCTGGAGCCTAAAAAGTTCTCCACTGACTTCTGAGAGCCTACTGAGGCAGGTGATGGACTGGAATCAACACCTAGAAAGGCAAACAAGAAACACAAGTTAGGGCTTAGGAGACAGCATCTAGGGATGCATAATCAAGTCACAACTGGGGTTCCAGCCCTTCAACCCCCCATTTCAAGATCCTTAAAATTTGGAAGAAAGTAAGTGTCATAACCATCTTGAAACCAGGCAAAGACCGTCATGATCCAAAAAGCTATAGACCAATCTCCTTGTTGTGTCATTGTTGCAAAGCTCTGGAGAGACTTATTTTGCATAGAATTATGGAAAAAAGTGGACCCATGTCTGATCCCACAGGAAAGGCAAAAGCTGCACGTCACAAGTGCTGAACCTGACTCAGCACATAGAAGATGGTTTTGAAAGGCACCAGATCACAGGAGCTGTCTGCATAGACCTGTCAACAGCTTATGACACTGTAAACCATCACCTTCTCCTGAGAAAAACTTATAATATCACAAAGGACTACCACCTCAACCACTTCATAGAAAATCTGCTACATAACAGGAGCTTTTTTGACTAATAATAATAATAATAATAATAATAATAATAATAATAATACTTTATTTGTACCCCGCTACCATCTCCCCAAGGGACTCGGTGTGGCTTACATGAGCCGAGCCCAAACACAACAATACAAGCAATAAACACAACAATACAAGCAATTAAAATAAAACATAGACATAGACTATCAAACAAAAAGTGGGTGCTAGAAATAATATCATACAAAAGCTGACTGGCACAACATGGGGATCACAACCAGACACAGTGAAGACATCTACCCTTGCGCTTTGCTACTCTGCTGCTGAATACACATGCCCAGTGTGAAACACATCTCATCACGTTAAAACAGTGCATCTGGTTCTTAATGAGACATGCCGCATTATCACAGGATGTGTATGCCCCACACCATTGTAGAAATCACACTGTTTAGCTGGTATTGCACCACCTGACATCCACAGGGAAGTAGCAGCCAATAACGAAAGGACCAAGGCAGTGTCATCTCCAGCCCATCCCCTGTTTGGGATCAGCTAGCACACCAAAGCCTGAAATCAAGAAATAGTTTTCTAAGATCTATTGAGATACTCGCAGATTGAGATACTCGCAGGAATACCTCAGCAAGCAAGAGTCCAAAAGTGGCAGACTAAAACCCAGAAGCTCAAGCCATGGCTCGAGCTCTCTGGAATGGGGAGATGACTAGGGCAATAGACACGATCGCCCCAGAACGTCCCCTCTCAAGTAGCCGA